AGCAGGACGCGCTGCCGCTCGGCCACCTGGACATCGCCGACGCCTGCTTCAGCTACCAGGGCCCCGACGACGCGGCCGAGCCCGGCGCCGAGCCGCCCGCGCACTTCGAGGTGCACAGCGCGGGCGCCGTCACGGTGCTCAAGGTGGGAGCCCGCACCCCGGGACCTGCCCTCGCCCTCAGCCCGCACCCCAGCACCTCCCCGCCCACACCCCTCAGCCCGCACCCCAGAGCCCTCCTACGTCCCTCAGCCCACACCCCTCAGCACGCACCCCAGGACCTGCCCTCGCCCTTAGCCCGCACCCCAAGACCTGCCCGCTCACGTCCCTCAGCCCGCACCCCTCAGCCCGCCCGCTTCCCTCAGCTGGCACCGCAGGACCCGCCCTGACCCTGCCCAGCCTAGGTCAGCCCATCGGACACTGCCCTTCCACCTCCTTTCTCTGGTCCCGGCTATGTTCCTTTCCCCACTTCTTCATACCCTGTCCCTGTGTCCCCATCTCGTGCCTTTCTCCTGGGTTTAGGTCAGAGTGGATGCAGGCTACTCAGTCCCCTTACCAGGTGTCACCCTCCTCCCTGGCTGGGCTCCCCTGTCCTGGGAGTGTTCTGTGCAGGGCTCCCAGGGGTTCATGATGTAAGCTTGTTGGCCTTGGCTAAGTTATTTAACCTCTCTCGGCTTCGCTGGCCTCTTCTGTGACAGGGACACAGCAGTGGGGTCTGCCTCCAGGGGGGTTGGGATTAAGCGAATTGTATTCTAAACTGCTCAGTGGTGGTTACTGTGCCCGTTGACAGAGTCCGAGAGGCCAGGGCCCTCACAGAGCATCCAGCAGTTCCCTCCGGAGTGGGCAGGGATGGCCCCCGCTGAGGTCACACAGCCAGGAAGTGGCAGAGCCTGCTTTCCTGCTCCTTATTTTGGCTGGAGAGGTGGGACAGGGTTGCTTCTGCCCGCTCCGCCTCGCGCTCGGAGGCTTCCTAAATCTAGCGCAGGAGGAGTGTGTTTGCTGGGACGGTGCAGGAGCCTGGGCAGAGTCAGCGGTCCTGGTCCTGTGCTCAGGGGCCTCTCCTCTGGCTGAATTACATTACGTAATTCTGTCCTCGCGTCATGTAATTCTGTCCATCTTCGTATGTTCAGAACGTTCCTTAAAAAAAAAAAAGAAATTGATTTCCAGGGGGGTTACTGACTCTGCAGGACTGTTTTGGTACGAAGAGTTGAATTAGGCACAGTTAAATAAGACAGTGCCCAGCGGGGGCCTGCTCTGTAGAAAGCTGGGAACGGAAGCACAGCAAGGCCCTTCAGAGGCGGGGCATCCAGACGTAGGGTTTCCAGTAGGGATTTTTAGTGCAGTCTTTTCTTTTGAGCCGTGAGAGTCAAAAGTTTCTGGTGTTAAAAGTGGAAGTTAGCAATTCATCTTCCTTTTCACTTTTCAGGTCCGAGGACTGATTCCCGTAAGTGTTAATCCTTCGCTTTAGGGCTGCTGGGTCACAGGGGGGGACCCTGATTTTCGAGGGACGTTGTGGGTTAGCGGGGAGGAGCCCCACTCAAACTTCAACTAGTCGTATTTGATTTTACAGATACCATTCCTTTCGACAGTGGGTTAAAAAGAAAGGAAAAGAAAAATCAGCATGTTGCTTATTGTGTTAGCATGTGTTTCTTATTTGAAGCGTCTCTCCGCCTTCTCCGGAGAAGCTGTGGTTTCGTTGGGCTTCCACAGCGCGTTCCACTGCTCGAGTCCTGATGAAAGCTGATGCTGGCATTTCTTGGTGAACTTCTCTGTCTGAACGCCGGGATCTGGCCCGGTGTTGAGTGGCCGCCGGTGAGGGGATGTGTTTTGCCTGCGGCCATGAAGCCAGACTCCTTGGAGGTGGAGCCTTTGGGACCAGTGAGTGCCCCAGAAGTGGAGTGTCTGGAGGCACCGCGCGTTCCGACAGGGCTGCCTTTCTGACTTTGGAAGTCAGTGGCCTGGGCTGGACAGGGCGTAGTGGATCTCCCTCTGCTGCGCTTGACCTCTGTTCTCCTGAAGCAGCAAAGAAGCATCAGGCCGGTTTGAGCAACCGACTTTTTCCCGGGATGTGTAGGGCCCGGTACTAGACGTGTAGGAACCGCCACAGTGGTCAGGCGGAGGCCGATGCTCCCTGTGTGTGTGTCTGTGGGGGGCGGTAGGGGTGCTGGAGGCTGCTTGCTGGGCTTTCCTGGGATCCGAGGCACGGGAGACAGTTGTGGGTGAGCCGGCGCTTAGGGACGGACAGCGTGCGGCTGACGGGGGTGACGCCGAGCGGGCCTGCTCTGCCAGACGCCTGCAGTCCCCGGCACAGGGAGCACCATCACGCCGTCCGAGGCTGAGCTCCCGCCGCCTCGCTCCCTTCCCTGAAGGCGTTTGGCGCCCCAGTGAAGTGCGTGTCGGTCTCCGAGTCCCCCACAAGCCATCAGTCATGCGTCCCTATTGTCAGCCCCCTTCCGTAGGAAGAATGCAGCCGCTCAGCGTAGCTACAGACGTTGCGTGTGCTAGTTTGGGTGTCCCGGTGTGTGTTCAGCGCCAGGTGTGCGGGCCGAGTCTGCCTTCTCGGCTGAGGGTGCCGCGAAGCCATCAGTCCTGACATCTGCTGGGGTCTGGCTGGACTAAGGCTTTTATGGAGATTTCACTTTTCCTAGGTTGTCATGGTTTCTGATTCATCCATTCGTTAAAGGCCCATACAGTGTCGTGTGTGAAATATCACAGTGCCTTTCCACCTCCCACCGCCTGTCACACGGTCCCCGTCACGGTGTAGTCTCCAGCCGTGTCCTGCCCCCCGAGGACCGCTGATTGTGTCCGCACCTCCCAGAACAGTGCCTGGCACCAAGTAGGCGCCCAGGTAGGCGTTTGTAGAGCGAATGAACAGCAGGTGGTCACCCAGCAGGCGGTGGTTTCAGTGTGAACTCTGACTCGTTAGAAGCGAGCAAACGTATTAGATGACGTGCTCGTCTCGTGACATTCAGGGAATGTAATAGCATCGGGGATCCACGAGGGACGGGCCACCCAGATTTCCAGTTAGTCCTGCACGTTCGGCCTCAGTCTGGACTCTGAGGACGCATAGAGCAGATGCTTTACGTAAAGGGCCATCCGTGACTGCCCTGCCCTGCCCTGCCGTGGTGGCACAGAAACAGCCTGCAGTGAGTGTAGCTGCGTTCCGTAGCTCTGAAATTTCATGTAAGTTTTGTGTCATGAAATATTGACACAAAATATTGATTTTTTTTCCAAGCATTTGAAAATGTGAAAACCGTTCTTGGCTCGTGGGTGCGTAAAAGCAGGCAGTGGGCTGGATGTGGCCTCAATGGGGCTTCTGAGGGTGGACAGGTCTCCTTGGTCAGGCGCCTTTACCCATGGGTCACTGGGTGACAGCCTTCAGGTTGGACCGAAACACACACAATAACCTGCCCCCAGAGAGAAGAACCTTGTCGTTGAGGAAATGGCTCTCAGAGTGTGTGTGTGGGGGAGCGGCTTTGATTAGGAATTTTCAGTTCTCTTGGGGATTTACGTAGTGGGTCCTCAGGGCACTCGAGCGAGCGTTCCCCCACGTGCTGTCAGGCCCCGTCGTCAGCTTTCGCAGGGCGCATGCGGTAATGAATGGTGAACGGGGCAGTAGCGATGCCTCTCGCTCGTGCCCGCTGAGTGGCCTGCTTCCCTGGGAAGCTCAGCGATGGGAACGTGCTGGCTGCCTGCACGGCCAGGCCCTGTGGGCAGCACCACGCTGAGCTGGTCCCTGGGGAGGCTGCAGGTTTTGTGATTGCCCGAAAAGTAGAAGCTCACCGGGCAGCACAGGAAACGCTGAACCGGCTAGAGATTCAGGGTGGGGTCGCCCCCAGAGAGGGTGTAGTCCTGCGCCAGTATCGGAGCGTCTGTGTCCCGCTAGGGCACAAGCTCCCCGCGGGCAGAGATCTGTCTGGGGTTCGCCGCATCCCTGATCTGATGCTGCAGGAGTGTCAGGCGCGTGTCAGAGGGACGGATACGCCCGTGTCTCCGTGCGCGGTGAGTGCTACACTCTCGTCGCATGGTCAGAGGGAGGTTTGCAGTGTCCATTTATTCATCTAGCAAACATTTTTGAGCATCTGTCGTGTCATAAGCATTATGCTTTTTCTGCAGATACAGCAGTGAAAATTTTCCATCCGTTTAAAAACTGCAGTGTTAAGATTTTAAAAATAGATTAGCATTTGATATCGTCAAAGACTTGCAAGAGCTCTGGAAAAAAAACTTTGAGAGAAACCGTATTTGCCTGTAGCATTCAGCGTCGGGAGTAAACATCAAATGTCTGCCGGTTTCCGATGCTGAGGGAGGTCTGGCCTCATTCCACGGTGGACAGGCGGAGGGGGGGGTCCTGATTTGGATATGGCCTAGAGTCAGAAGTCTGTGCTCACGTCATCATTTCTGTGGGCATCGCAGACTCGCGGAGATTCGTGTGACTGATTACCAAGAAGCGCTTCCTGGACAAGGCGGGCCGAGGAGTTGGTCAGGTTCGCGGAAAATCGCGGAGCTGCTCAGAGGTTTGGTTCTTGGGTCTGTGTCCCATCTGACGGAGTCAGCATCCTTCCCTGAGTTTGCATGCTCTGGACAGTGGCTTTTTCAGGCTGATCGTATGAGAACTGGGCTGTGGAGGCAAAGGGGCGGCCCAGAGCTGGGAGCTTGGGGCTTCTCTGCCTCTGGCCGTGTGCGGGGCTGGCCTTAACAGAAGGAGCAGACTCTTAGCTCTGCCCTCTGGTGTGTGGACGCAGGCCTGGCCTTGGTTGGAGGGGAGGTGGGCAGGCCAGTGTTTCCAGAGATGTTGATCTTGGAGTGTAAGAGTTGTTTTTTGGCGGCAAACCAAGTTTTTATTTCCCGTTCCAGCCCTCTGGTTTCCAGGGAGGCAGGGCTGGCAGAGACGGTCAGTGGCGTGGCTTTAGGAACGTGATGCAGCCAGCCAGCCATTCACCTCACCCCACCCACACGTAGTAGGGCGTGTTGCCCGCGGCCTCGGGGGCTTGTCCTGTTCCGTTCTGGGGTGCGATCAGGACATTGTCATTAAGTGGCTCTGAGAGCTGGGATGACTCCAAGGGTCACTGTGAGTCAGAACTTCCCTGCCTCCACCCGTGACAGGGAGGAAACTGAGTCCCATGGCTAGGGAACGGCAGCTCCGGCTCCAGGCCCTGCCCGGAGACGCGAACAGCCTTTCACCGTGGCGAACCTCGCAGTCGGATGGTGCGCGGTTCGAATCTCCATCTCAATCCGTGCGCGGGAGATCAGGCTTGCTCGGCTTTATCTGTGGCACGCGGATGCTTAAGTCGTCCGTGTAGCTCTGCTGCGTGGAGGTGTAGACTCAGACCGTGCGGACCGCTGAGGCTGGGAGTGAACAGTGAGGTGCTGAGCCTCCAGGGGCCACTTTGGCAGTGAGCGTGGCGCAGCCGAGGCCTGTGGGTCCCTGTCGGGGTCCTCCTGGGAGGCGCTCGCGGGGGCCGGGCAGGTCCTCCTCGCCCCGGCCTGAGCCACGAGCCGGCGTTTTCCGCGCTCAGCGTGCATTCTGCCACACGTCCCCGACCCCGAGCAACACGCCAGCAAGGCCTTTTCCATCCCACCGTTGAAAGGGCAGTGACGTGCTTCTCGTCCTTGCTGTGGGGAAGACGCCTCCTGGGGTCCTGCTAGAATACAGATCGGGGGGTTCCTGGTCGGGGTGGCACACCAGCGCGGGCCTCAGGATCTGCATTCCTGTGCGTCGTCCCAACCCCTCGGCTGCGGCCCTCTGCGGCCCTCCCTCGGAGGAGCACCACTTCCCTCCCGATCATGACACACGGGGCCCCTTTGGCCCTGAAGCCCAGTGGGCCGACGGAACCGGACCGTGAGCCGGAGGCAGGGCCCGCATCCTCAGGCGGCCTCGCGGGCCCTCCCTGCGCTGCCGCTTTGCGTTCTGAGTCCCTGCGCTCCAGGGCCATGGTCTAGGGCCTGTCACCCCCTTCTCACGTTTCCCCGGTGGCCCCGAGACTTCTGTCACTTGGTCACCGGCACACCGCCACGTGCTCGGGTCCCTCGGGGCCTTCCAGAGAGGGAGCTGGAGGGCACGGGTGTCTCTGGGGGAGCGAGTGTTAGTGATTGTCGCCCACCGAGCAGCTGGCAGGACGTTCAAGCCCCCGACTGCCCGCCCAGGGGGCAGTAACGTAAGGGTGTGGGGGGACCCCGACACTCTCCTGAGACACAGCTCTGCTGACGACGATTGCTAGAAGCCCGCGCACTTCCCACACACGCCTGTAAACTCACGGACAGGCGGGGGATTGCGGGGGCCGGGCCCTGCACCCCACTTCTCTTCTGGGCGGAGTCGGAGCCGGCCCCTCCCAGACCCAGTTCCTGAAACTTCAGGTTGAGTCAGTCGTTTCTGTGCCCACTCTAAAAACGAGCGAGCGCAGTGCCGTGTGGCGTGTGG